ATTTTTTTGCTTATTTTTGAAGTTTTTTCTACAGATCCTTCCTTTTTAGTAACCCTATAATTAATCTGACCTATCTATGTGTATTTTGGGGTTCTGATACTGGAAATAAATTTAATTAAATTAGCAGAATACATTGTGAGTAATTTGAGCTAAGTAATTTGAAATAAAATGATAATTCCCAGGAAAATTAGTATGTGAGATTGTGCTGAGTATCATTATAACAGTAGAATGAGTAAAAAGCAGGTCAAATTAAATTCAAATTAATCAAATGGGTGTCGCTAAAAGAAAATCTGAAATTTTAAATATGACTTATATTTAAATTTTTGGGTTTTCTTTTAGTGACACTCAAATTGATCATGAAATAGTTTATAGTCATTTATCTATCTCTACAAACTTTTCATCACAAAAATATTTGAAAAGCACAGATGTAAATGATTATGTGTTTAAAAGAATGCCAGCTGGCCAAAGGTGCTGAAAATAAAAAAAACTACTTACAATGTATTCTGTGGACTTAAGTCTTTTAATTGAATTTATTTCTGGCACCTTTGACCAGCTGGCATTCTTTTAAACACATGACCACTCACACCTGTGCTTTTCAAATATTTTTGCATAGTAAACAGTTAGTAGGATGGGTAAATAACTATAAACTATTTCATGATTAATCTGATAAATGATCGTGAATTAGTTCACGGTTATATTTAATTTAAATTTAATTTAATCAAATATTTGATCAAATTTGACTTGATCAAATATTTGATTTAAACTCAAACTTTGATTTGCTTTGGTCATTAAAAACTTAGTTCATTCTTCAAAGCATTTTGGTGCTGTCAGAGAATGAAATAAGTTCAAAATTATAGAATACTAAGTAGCTGTATAGCATATGATCTTTGTGCCAATATAAAATAGTATTATCCAAATCATCTTGATAAGATGATTTAAATGGTACCAAAATCATCAAAGCTCAATTACAAGATAAAAAATAAAAAATTTTTACAAAATAATAACTGCACAAATTTTGTCTAATCTAAAAGTCAAAAAAATGTTGAAGAAATCAGGAATCAGTAATTATATAATTTTGTAAATTGCAATAAAATAGATTAATTTATTACGCAGTTTATGTATCAAAAATGTAATCACACAGATCTGAATACTATAACCGCATCTGAACTCATGTAATCTATATTCCTATTGAGATGCAAAAAAAAGATTACATCACTGAACATATTTATGCATCTATAACCTGCATGCCGATTTGTTTTATAGGAAAAAACTCTAATATCATCTTGATTTGTCTTAATTTATATTGTCTGATAGCTCTATAAACTGTCAACTAGACATTTTATAACATTATCCTGATTTTAGCTGTATGGTTATAATCCCGAAGTATTACATCTAAAAATATACACCAATCATACTGAAATCAATAATTTAATCGAATCAGTCAAAAATCATTTTTATTAAGTATCTAGGATTTGAAAAGAGCTGTAATTCTTTGTAATAATATCACCCAAGTAGTCTTTTTATATTAACCAGGTAAACCGACAGGTCATCCAACAGGTCATCTGTCAGGTGACCCAGGTGTATAATATTTTTAAGTTGACCTAACTTTCACTCAGGTGACTTATTGTCCACCTGATGAGTGATCCAGGTAAAGGGTCAAATCGCTAAATGCCAGTACTGACCGTGAACTAGTTCACAATCAATTCTGTTAATGATGCCAATGCTGACTATAAACTAGTTTATGATCAATCCTGTTAGTAATGCCAATACTAACTGAACTAGTTTACGATTGATTCTATTAATGATACCAATACTGACCATGAACTAGTTCATGATTAATCTTAGTGATGCTAATGCTTAAGGATGTTATGTGGTCTGATCTTAGACTAATAGACTATGGTTAGTCTTAAGACCTGTCTAAACTGGTCTTCTCTAAGTCTTAAAACTGGACCACTCTGGACCGGTCTAGATAGACAAAGTCTTAAGAATGAAAATCATAATAGGCCAGACCAGACCTGGACCAAAATAGACCAGATTTGACCAAACCGGACTGTTAACATCTCTACTAATACTAATCATAAACTAGTTTATGACAGTGTAATATATAATTTTTTCTGTGTCTCTTCACTTTCGTATTTGCCTAATTCATAAATTTGTTACATACCTTCTATAAATGTATCGTCTTACCTTTTTTTAGGCATTATTCTATACAGATTGTATATAGCAAATATTTTAATATTTGAATGTAATATTTAATTGTTTTTATATACTATATGAGCTTTCAGATCTCCTTAGAAACCTATATCATTGCATATATTGATTTCATTAAAAAACAACCAGACTTCATAATGATAAATATTTATTTGAGAGTCTTCTATAAATTGATTGATAATTTTTTCTGTTATGTCTGTTATGTTAATATAAAGATTTAAAGTGTGAAATTTTGTTTCAACCATTCTAGCAAGTAATCAAACTTGTCTATTAATAATTGCAAAAAACTTTTATCAATTAAAACTGTTAGATTCTTACATTGCTTGATCATATAACCAAACATTTTGGAGTACATCAAATATGATTATTATTCAAAAATCTGCAAATCTAACTTATTTTAACTAATAATTTAACTTGACTCTGTTTAATTAACTTGACTGGATCAAATTAATCAATTTATGCTGATTTGAATTTGATTATATTAATTAGGTCAAGTTAAACTAAATCTAAAAACTAACATAACCCATAATAAATAAATATTTTTTAAGCTAGATTACATGATTATATTCGAGTCAGCTCAAGCTGACTTGAATCGGCTCAGCTCAAAGCTGGCTTAAGCCAGCTGTTCCTATTTTTATATATTACATTCTAATAATAAGTTAAAAGCATACTGTAATATTGGTCTTAAAGAACTAACTTTTTTAAAATGGTTTGGTATATCATAAGATAAAATTTCTAAAGATTGTTTATAAAATTATATGTTTAATGATTCTATAGCAGAAATTAAATAATATGTATGTAATTTTTGCTTATTTATTACGGTTTTCGAAATGGAAATATATATATATATATATTTATTTTATTTTATTTTTTTTTGGTGAATACTGTGAAACAAAAATATAGTTTTTGATCACTTGACCCGTTTTTATTGATCAATCTTAAAAAAAAAAATTACAGTGTACCACTTTTAAAATAATTGCATCATATACATATCTTGAATTTGATAAAGAAAAATTATATAGTGTTTTAGTATATCATGCTCAACCATCAAAAGTTCCTATTTTACTACTTTATTAACTCATTCTCAACTTTGAACTTATAATGGATATTTTGTAATATAGAAAGTGAATATAAATAATGCTTACCGTTATTATCAATATAAAGAAAAAGTGAAGCCATCTTTTGTGAAGTATTTCTATATTTAATTTTATGAGATCAAATGATAACTGTTTTTATTATAGTTTAACTTAGAAACATTTTTGCTATAATACTGTAATATTGTATATTTTAATGCCATAATTTAACAATTGTATGGATCTCTATGTAACTCTTATGATACTTTCGTTATTTTTTTTGAAAAGTAAAAGGTTCGCTTTATAATTTTTGCCTTTTTTACAATATTAATTATTATATCATTTTTATTTCACATTTGAGTTTAACTTATACAGGCTTTAATATACTTTCTATTTTATTACAAATTAATTATGCAATTATCCAAAAGTCATATATTACAAGTCAAAAAAAAGATGTGAATAATGCAAATACTTGAATACTCTATTACCTTAGCACATTGATTAAAGTTCGATGCCCGATTTATATATATATAATGTAATTGCTTTAGTCAACAATTACATTGTATATATTGTGCCTCAGATTAGTTTTTGCCTTAGGTAATAACTGAGGCACCTCAGATATTGATTGTTTGGCCAGCATTAACTGATCAACATTAATTGACCTAAACTATAGCCTAATCCTTATTCTAACTCTAACTCTAATTCAGGCCGATTAACACCTGAGGCAAGAATTGATCTGAGGCACAACATATATATATAAAATTAGGCATCGATTTTTAATTAATGTGCTAAGGTAATAGAATATTCAAGTATTTGCATTATTTACATTATTCACAATATTCACCATGTATAGGTAAAGACAGCGTCTTTATAAAAATTTCACTAGTCATTCATATAAATTAGACATTAATTATATTTTCTTTTTTTTAAAAAAAAATAAATACATTAAAAAATTTTTTTTATAAAATTATTTCTCGTAAAGCACCAACAAAAGTTCCAGCAGATGTTAATCTACATGAACAAGATCTTTGCTTTATATGCAAAAATGATATTGACTCAACACTTAAAAAGTCAATAACAATTTTAAATTATAAACATTTTTTTTACAAACTATATATAGAACATTAAGCAGATAGTCAATATCCACTATACCAAGAAGAGTGTATTGAGTCGACTGAGCTTGGAAATTGTTATAGTCAAGAAAGCACTCAAAGAATTTCTATCCAGTTGGATAACAATCTTCAAATTGATTCTGAAGATAATTCGGAAGAAATAAACGTTCAAATCTCTCAACAAGCCAGCTCTATTAAATCGTTATTAAACCCTGAATTTGATACTTTTTTATTATTAAACTCTGAATCTGATACTTCTATTACAACTTCGCCTATTTTCACTATATATGCATCTATATTTACCACTATTACAGCTGCCACATTTTCTAAACCCACACCTATATCTACCACCACTACTACTGATATTATGACTTCTGCACCTGCATCTATATCGACCACTATAACTTCCACACCTATTTTACTTGTATCTACAACTTCTACACCTATCTTACCTGTATCTACATTTACTACCGATATTATATTTTTTGTATCTGCACCTACTACTACCGATTTCACAACTTCCGCACCTACTACTAATATCATGACTTCCACACCTGTATCTATGCCTACACCTGTACTTACTACTACCAATTTCATGACTTCTGCACCTGCTACCAATATCACAACTTCCATATCTGCACCTACTACTACTGATTTTATGACTTCCACATCTGCTACCAATATTATGACTTCCACACCTGTACCTATGCCTACACCTGCATCTGCACCTACTACTACCGATTTCATGACTTCCACATCTACTACCAATATCACAACTTCTATACCTGCACCTACTACTACTGATTTCATAATTTCTGCGCCTGCTATCAATATCACAACTTCTATATCTACACCTACGCCTACTACTACTGTTATCATGACTACCAAAATGAACTGTTTAATTCAAGAATTAAATACATCTGTTGCAAGGAATGATGATACTGACAATAACATTGTTAATACTAATGATAATAATAATAATCCAATATTAGTAAACCTTTATAATAAAGTTATATACCTGAAGAGGAATCAATCTAGAGTAAAAAGAGAAGTAATTAGAAGCTGGTATGAATTTTCACAAGAGTTGGAAAATCAAATAAATGAAAAATTACAAGATCGTTGAACAACTCAAAAAAATGCAACAAGCCAAGTATATAATGAACTTCTGAACCATCTTTCTATTTTACAGTTTACTTTAAGAAAAAGTGTCAGAAAAACTAACAAAGTTTACAAACTATTCAAGGCAATCGGTGTTAATAAAATTGAAAAAATTAATAAAATTAGTGCAAATATTATTTCTAAATTCTTTCCAGAACAAATTGATTTAGTTATTAATAGTGTAACTAGTAACTAGTCATTAGTTTTATATTCACTAAATGAATAAAAATTTTTCTTTACTTATCATATTTCTGACAAGCTATATATTTTTAAAATATTTATTAATACGAACAAATTAAAGGCTTCTTAGTTGCTAGATCAATTGTTTCAATATTTCGTATCATTGCACAGGTCTTATATAACAACTTGTGCTTTTTTGACAAGGTTATTTTCATTGGTCTATATAAAAATCACATGATTTATATATACCAATTAGAGTGTTCAGAATTATAATCCAGATATTACCAAATTATGCATATAGTAAATCTTTAATAAATGACTATACGTGATCAAACATTATATCTGCAAACTGATAGTTGATTAGTCTAGTCTCTAAAAAGTCTGAACCTAAACAAGGTCATCTTTGTCAAAATTAGTTAAAAACTGGTCCTACCCTAGCAGTTTAATATAAATCTATATGGTGTCAAAAAAATAAAGCATTTACTAATTTGATTTAACCTGCCAATTGATGCACTTAATAATCCTTGTAACAATTAGTGAATTTTTAAAGAGAAATGCATTATTGATCGAAAGTAGAAGATTATAATAAAAGCTATTGGTACCTAATTCCAATTGCCCAATCAGTGAATTTAAACTAGAACATATGAATACTATGATTTCTTAATTAAGTTTTGACAATTTTGGTACTATTCAAATCATCTTATCGAGATTATTCGAATAATACTAAAATTATCAAAACCCAATAACAAGGTTACAAGATATCAAAGATAGATCAAAATCTAATCAATTGTGAACTAGTTCACGATAAAGGATTTGATCTATCTTTGATATCTTGTGATGAAAATAAAAGTTGTATATTTATTATTTTGTAATAAATAGGAAAATATTCAATCAAATTTTTACAAATAATAAATACGAAAATTTTGTCAAGTCTCAAAAGTCAAAAAAAATGTTGAAGAAATTGGAAATCAGTAATCGGAAAACAGTGATTACTTTTTTTTCAAATTTCATATAATTTTGAATATTGATTAATATTAATATAATAAAGATTAATGCACATAATATGATTTTTTGCTATACTAAATGTCAATATTATACGACTATATTAACCCGAAATTAATCACTATTAGTATGTTTATCTTTCTCAATTTTTTATTTGCATTGTTAGAATTTTTTATATCGCATAAAAATATATTTTAAATTGCACGGATCTGGATATTCTAGATGTAGGTATATAAAAATTTTCTATTTATTTTGGTATAGCCAGCTTACAAACTAATAAATACATATAAAAAGAATTTATTACATTTAAAAACATATAGATAGATATGCAATATACATACGTAGTAAATTGATATTTATTACTAATAAGCCTATCAAAAATTTAATATACGAATGAATTATTAGTGAAACTATTTAGTATCATTATATTTGAAAAATAATTAGAGTGATTTAATATTATTTTTAATTATTATAACCTTTATTAGAGATATAACACGACCTTTTATATAATTAATGAAACAATAATACTATATATTCATACATATTATCTACCTACTACTTAACCCAAAGTTATTAATGTTTTAATACTATAATGTTCAGATTACATAAAATATGAAGCTTATTGTTAGGCCATACAAACTTAATAAATTGATTCTCATAATATAAAATTTTTAAAAGTAACACAGCAACCCGGCTTTTTATTTTATTTTCAAAAAATTTTATATATAAAAAACATATAAAATTTTTTATAGATTTTTTTAATAAACTCACCCGGATAGTAAGTATACTTGAAATTTTTTTTTAGAGTTTTGTAAATTTTGACCCGGTTGGGTTATGAGAACCGATTTATTAAGTTTGTATAGCTTTAATAAAATGGTATGCATAAAATTCTTTAAGTTGAATCTTATATGTAATGTCTCAAGCCAATATTAGAATTAGTTTTTGACAATTTTGGTACCATTTGAATCATCTTATTGAGATGATTCAAATGGTACCAAAATCATCAAAACTCAATTACAAGGTTACAAAATATCAAAGTTGGATCAAATCTTTTATCGTGAACTAGTTCATGATAAAGGATTTGATCCATCTTTGATTTTTTATTTATTAAATTTATTTAATGTATCAAAAATGATACTATATTTATATCATATGTTCTCGTAAACTACTTAATATCTCTATAGTTGATGTAGTCTATCTACTCAATTAAAAAAAATTAGACCTATTTAGAAAATTGAAACTTTATATTTTTCTTGTAGCTAATTAGACTTTCATTGTTTTTTCAGATCATCTGATATTATTGTATATTAATAAAAAACAAAATACATATCTTAATAATTAAATATTAGAATTAGACATGAGTTAAAATTAGAAAAATACATATATCAATATATAAAATTAATGTTAAAAATTAGAAGCCTAATGTAAGGTTTTATAATAAAAAAAATCAATTATTGTCACAGAATTCTGTTAATGTATTATTTGTATTTGTTTATTAATTGGATATGCCAGCTTGCTCTTGTTTAATTAAAAATCATAACCATTATCAAAAAAGAGTGATCACTAAAGCCTTGTACTATATAACTTTGCAGGGTTGGGCAGCCTTCTATGTCCGGTGAATTTTACCGGACACCGGACATATAAATTTGTCTGGTGTCCATTGATCTGTTAACACATTTAGAATAAAGATTGACAGTGTATTACTGTCCTAATTATTTGGTTCGCTTGACTCTGAACGGAGGTTTCTTACTTCAAAAAAAAATTACAGACAATCTTAGAAATTTAAATTTCATCGGACAACCCGCTTGTCTGATTGCCCAACCCTGTAACTTTGAAGTTTTAATTATAATTAGAGTTAGAGTTAGTTTAGTGTTAGAATAAGTGCTATTTTTTATATATTTTCAATTTTTCAATTTTTTGATTTCTTGATTCATACAAACAAAATCATATGATTTTGATTAGTGATCTATATAGAAAATGTTATATAGGTACAAGGCTTTAGTGAACCTCAAAAAAGAATTCTGCAAAAATCCGTATAAGCAACACATATAAAGTTGAACCCAAATAGTAATACTATATTTCATGTTATACAAGAAATATGATCGTACTGATATTATTTATATGATTTTGTCAAATAGCCAAGAATTCAAAAATTCAATTATACTAACACCTCTTACTTGTATCAGTTTGTCTACCTAACCAAAAAAAATCTAGATAGTACAAAACAGCCTATAAAGGGTTAAAGTGGCAAATTAGTAGTCATGCGTAAAAAAGTTGATCTTCAAAATTATAGTGTTATAAAAAAATTGTGATCTGTATAAACGCATATTTAATCAACTTTAAAATTTTGCTTTTGTCATTAAACTATACACTCTTTTACACTATATTCTTCAATATCTTGTAATCTTGGAATTAGATTTTGATAATTTTAGTACCATTCAAATTGTCTCAATAAGATGATATGAATAGTACCAAATCATCAAAATCCAATTCCAAGATTACAAGATATCTGCGCATAGATTAATTCTTTATTGTGAACTAGTTTCATAATAAAGAATTAATCTATACACAGATTATGCAAGTTTCTTTAAATTATACAAAATATATATTTAATATGTTAAAAGGTAAATTATGCGAATATTGTGCCAGATTATAATACTGAGTATTCTAAACTTTTCGCTTTAACAATAGGTTCAACTTCAATTTAATTCTTATTGATTTTTCGGATTTGAGTACCTGTATATTCTAAATATAAAACCTTTTGTGCAATAGACTAAACTTTTAAAAATTAGTATAAGTAATTTAAATGTAGTGCTTCGCAAAAGCAAATTAAAGTTTAAGTTAGAAATCAAATAGTTGATCAAGTCAAATTTGATCAAATATTTAATCAAATCAAATTCAAATTGATCAAATATGATTATGAACTAGTTTACAATCATTTATCAAATTGATTATGAAATAGTTTAGTTATTTACACATCCTTATTATTAACTATTCACCAAGCAAAAATATTTGAAAAGCACAGATGCAAGTGGTCATGTGTTTGAAAAAATGCCAGCTGGCCAAAGGTGCCAGTAATAAATTTAAATTAAAGGACTTTAAGTCCGTAGAATACATTGTAAATAATTTTTTTATTTCTGGCACCTTTGGCTAGCTAGCATTCTTTCAAATATATGACCACTTGTATCTGTGCTTTTCAAATATTTTTGCTTGATAAACAGTTAATAATAAGGATAGGCAAATAGCTGTAAATTATTACATGTATTTGTCATCAATATCATTAAACATCACAGATCAGTCTTAATATCATGCATCATTGTGCTACATCACAATATTGTATAATATCGAGACTGATCCGTAATGTTTAATGATATTTATAATAAAACATAAAATAACTATTATCTATTTCATGATTAATCTGATAAATGATCGTGAACTAGTTCATGATCATATTTGATCAATTTAAATTTGATTTGATTAAATATTTGATCAAATTTGATTTGATCAAATATTTGATTTCAAACTCAAACTTTGATTTG